ATTTAATCTCAGCGCTCCTCTTTCCCAATGGTAGCTGAGACCCGATCATCAGAGTTCATTCTCTAATCACACCAATACTGACCATCAGCCATCAGCTGCTCATCTAACACATGGACTTTATTTGGATTAAGAAACTAATATCAAACACTCGGATACTAAAAATGTTAATCTTACATTAAAATACAACACATTACAACACATTCCCTTCTCATTCATGTTGTATAATTAAATAATCAAGAAGCCAAAGCTGATGTCAGATATCTTCAGGTGGGCGTCTTCATCTTTCTGTTGATGTTGGTCCCTTATACAGGCGACATTTTTAATGTTATCTGCTGAACAGCTGGTCCTCAACACATCAGGTGGACTACTGATGTGTTAATTAACCAATCAGAGGGGATTATTCTGCCCCTTTATTCTGATTGTTGAAGCTTTTCCTGGTTCCTTCCAGATGAGCTCCGATGAGCTCTGATCACTTTCTTTTATTGACTCTCAGCCACACCTCCTCCTGCTGAAGGATGGAAGGATGGCTGAGATGGTCCTGCATTAGGGTCTCCAGGCACCTTGGTCCCTCTGTAAAGCCTTCTCTGACTAAGGGGAAAAAATGTCTTGTAGGTCATTTTAATGTGTCACCTGTCAGTCCCAGTCTGGCCAGAGGTCAGAGGTCTGGCCCGTTCTGTGGTCCAGGAACGGGTCGACCCGTCATGAGCTCATGGGGAGGAAAACTGGGAGTCAAAGTTACCAACATGCTGAATTAAAGGAGCTGAGGGAAGGAAAGATCAGATGTTATCTTACCCTTTCACAAACAATAGTAGATCAAAATAAGTTCATGTAGCTTAAAGAACTTTAGATTCAAATTTTAACTTTGTCACAAATTATTGAATTATTCCATAATTTCAAACTTACCCAGTAAATGTACTTCCTTAGTGTTCGGTACCCTTATCACTTCTGCACCTGCAGAAATCCAAACAAACTTCTCCTCAGCAGAGGAGGGAGGGAGGACCTGCAGCGCTGTAAACAAGGGGAGACGCTGCAGCAGAGCCTTCTCTGCTGCTTCCACCAGAGATGATGTGTGTGGAAGAAGAAAAATGGGCTTTCTATCTGATTTTAAGAACGATGTTTCCAAGGCGAAGCAAAATCAAAGAACCAGAAACAAGAGTTTCATGAGGTGAAGAAACACCAAACCAGGGGTGCAAGAAGCTGAACCATCAACAAACATCAACAACGCTGGTTGATGAGGCCATCTTATTCCCATATTATTCACTTTACTGGTTTAGTCATAATTTAGTATTTTATTTAGGTTTTTTATTTATTCTGCTCTCAATTATCAACCCAAATTCCACAGATTCCTGGAACCCTTAGCCCGCCCATCTTTACCTCCTGTAACTGGGTCAACGGTAAAATGGCAGCTTTTCAGTCTATTTATCTGCAGGTACTTTAACTCCAGTCAATAAGCAGCGAACCAGTTACTATTCTGCTGGAAGCCAACCTGGGATAATAGGGAGATCTCTCTGAAGACCTCGTCACCTTCTGACCTGACAATCAGAACATCTTATGGCGCATTCTGCTGCCGTCCCTAAACTTTAAAGCCCCCCCCCCTCTACCTAAAGCCTGTGGGGGGGGGTCTTTTGGGTTCTCAGGTGAAAACTCCTAATCTTCTTTTATGTCCCAGTCCCAGTAGAAAGCATTATCAACCGTTTATAACTTTATATCAGCTGCTATTTCAGTCCTAATTTTAAAAGTTAGGATGTTTTTTTGTTTTTTATCATCCTACATTTAAATCCATTAAGCAGGTTTTAGATTTCATTCTCTTTTAAACATAATTGTTTTGAATGTTCCAAAAATTATTATTAATATCATTTCACTCTCTCAGAAAAATATGCCCACTTTGATTCAAATCCTCAGGAATGAATTATCTATTTTTGCAAATCTATAATTTTAGTTAATATACTCATAGCTTTCATATATTTTAGTTGCATTTTCCAAACTACATCCCATATATACGGAAGAGGATTAGGGCCACTGAAAAAAAAATGTTAACTGATTTTTTTTTATTTTATTTCAGTATAGTATGGGAAAAAAGTCAGAATTCTGGCTTTTTTCTCAGAATTCTGACTTTTTTTCTCAGATTTCTGACTTTTTTATTGTCAAAATTTAGTCAGAATTCTGAGATTAAAGTCAGAATTCTGAGAAAAAAGTCAGAATTCTGACTTTAATCTCAGAATTCTGTTAAACTGAAATAAAATTTAAAAATCAGTTAACATATATTTGGTAAACTGTCAGGTTTATTTATTTTAAACACGTGATGAAAATCGCTGATTTCATTGTTCATATGTTTTAATGATATACATGTGTGTTAATATTTTTGGAGGAAAGGAAAACAAAATTATCTTAGTTTTTCATTTATTAAAATCTTATTCAGATTAAAGTGACACATAACTTTCAATTTTTTCCTATCGGATTATATTATTCATTCTTTTTCCTCTATAAGGTGCTATTTTGTTTACATTTTCATAAGTCAGAGCAACCATCACCTTTTCTGTCTTGGTCAGAACCTCAGACATTCATGGCACAGGGACAAAGCAACATACCACAAAATCATGAAGAGATGAAGCTAATCTCTCTGTGTGGCTGCTGTGGAAATAGAGAATTTGGTTTGTGACTAAAACCTGTGCACATTTCACAGCTACTGTGTCAGACCATGTTTGGACCCTTTTCTCTCTCTGGATTTGCCTCAGTTTTCATCTCCAGGTCCGTCCATAACATTATGGAACATGGTGACAGCAGGAAATGAACAAAACTTGAGTAAAAGTACAGATACTTGTGTTAAAAAAATACTCTGGTAAAAGTGGAAATACTGATTAAACTTCTTTACTCAAGTAAAAGTAACAAAGTACAGGCTTGTAAATTTACTTAAAGTATAAAAGTAAAAGTAGAAACCACTTTTTTCATGCCGTTGCCTACATTTCAAATGGATGTCTGCCAATAGGACTAGATCTCCGTTGTGTTCATTTTCAATCATCTCGTCGTCCATGCTACTATGCTAACGCCACCGCCACCAAGCTGCAATGATTTGCCGCCAATGAATACCGCCCAATCTGTCGATTCATCTTGTAGTGGTGCGTCAAATGCAACGTAGATTCCCATCCAATTAGATTGAATTTGGTATTGATGACGTGAAAAATAATAACGGTAACTCCATTGAAATGATTCAAAACTAAAGTAATGAGCCAATTTTTTTAAAATGTAAGGAGAAGAAAGTACAGATATTTGTGTAAAAATGTAAGGAGTAGAAGTAAAAAGTCGCAATAAAAATAAGTAGTAAAGTAAAAATATCAGAAAAATCTACTTGAGTACAGTGACAAAGTATTTGTACTTCGTTACTTCCCATCTCTGCTCATCACCATCCACTTCCAGAAAGACATGGCTGCTAACCTATATTTTATCTCCTCCTGCAAAGGTCCCTACCTTAGATATCAATAGTAAATAGTAGGGGGAAAGGAGTTTTAAAAGTCTCTGGGGATTGTTTTAAGGCTTTAAATTTTAAGTGGGTCCCCGTCCATAAGGTTTTAAGGCCATTGTCTATGTGGTTGACTGTAACTGCGGCTTTAAGGTCTGCGGTGCCTGTCGTGTCAGCAACCACTGGACCTGGTGGTTGACAACGGCAGTAATTGATGTTGTCAAGCCAAAGGAGTCCTACAATGTAGCTTGAAACCATCAGTGAGTGTGTGATTGGGTGACTGTCTTCATAGATGTGATTTTAAGTGCTTCAATCAAGTCTCCTGACTTGATAAGAGCCATACAGACAAAAGGCATTTGTCATTTATGGGCAGAATTTCTAGGTGTAGCCTCGGCACGGACGGGTCTGGTTCAGGGACCATCTGATTTCATTCCTGCTTTTTGAAGATGACGTGGTCCTGCTGGCTACTTCCTGCCAAGACCAACCTTTTGCCCTTTGCCTCGAGGCGCCTGTCTCTGAGGTGGCACGTCCCACTGGGAGGAGGCCTGAAGGATGACCCAGGACAAGCTTTAGGGATTGTGTCTCTCTGCTGGCCCTCAGAACACCTCAGGAAAGGGAAGTCTGGGAGTCCCTGCTGAGACTGCTGCCCCAGCGACCCAGTCCCAGATGAAATGTAGATAAGGAGTCACTATAACTGTAGCTGTAGTTAAAATGATTATTGCTTATAATATGATTATTAGCTGTAGTTAAAATGATCTAAAATACCAAATAGATTGTGAGCATGCCCGTCAAAAGCCCTTTCTCTTGTCAGTTAGTCGTGAAGACTAAATCACACATCAAATATGACAGTTCAAAGGAGTTTGAAATCAGATTTTTTTGTATTATTTCATTCATATATCTTCTTTGAATTGTTTTTAAAATTCTTTTTCACAGACATTCTATATGTTAGTAATTATGGTCTAAAGTTATGTCCGTCAATATACCTGAAATGCTGTTAATAAAATATTTACTTAATAAAATACTATTAAATAAACATTAAATGACATTCTAAGATAACAAGACTTTCTCTCCAGAGTAAAAAGATACATAGGGGTTCAGGCGGATATTAAAGAGAAACACTTCATATAATCAAGCTTTCAATCTTTATTTTAAGTTACAAACACAAATAATGAATAAAGCTTTGTTGATAAGGGGAATATTTTTAATGCCATGATTGACAACAGGAAAAAGGAGCATTACAGCCTGTATTTTATATATAGTTTGTATATATGCCAGTAACACAGTACAATGTACAAGACTTTAAAATGGATGTTAAAACATTTTTCATACATTTTAAAAGACAACAATGATGTTTGAATTCAGCAACAATAACATAGTTTGGTTTTTGTTAGATGCCTTCATGCAGCTTTCATCAATTCTGTTGCTTTTAAATCTCCTTTAGTTTGTTGTTTTTTGGGATCTTTGTCTGCAGGTGAAGATCAAAGGGAGTTATATGTTTCTATGATTAGTAGAACCAGAATTTATTTTTTTTTTATTAATTTATCAAAGCCCAGCAAAACCAGACCAGGAGAGACCAGGAGAGACCACTCTAAACACTTTTAGTCCTTTTAAAAACTACGGAAGAAGAGATATAAAGATAAACTGAACCATTAACTTCCTGCTGAGGATGTTTCCAAGCTCACCTCTCCACCAGCAGGACTTCACCTCCAGACACTCTGAGGTTGGAGGTTCTTCACGAAAAGATTAATTCTTCATCAGAGGAACAATCAGAGGAACAATCAGCCTGATTAACAGGACAGATGATCAGAGGAGCAGAGTTTTCACCTCCAACATTATCATAGTGGCTGAAGTATGGGTAGAGTTTCTCAGTGAAGCAGCAGCCAGTAAAGGAGTAGATAAGACCATCTACATCATAGAAGGAGACCTGACCCTCCTCATAATCCACAAACACCCCCACCTTCTCAGGACCAGGATGGAGATGCAGACGGACTGGAGGATCAGCACAAGCTTTGTAGTTATTTCTGTTTTTCAACCTGACAGTCCAGTAACCATTTTTGGGACTCAGTTTGATCTCTCCCTTCCTGTCGATGGACTCACTGGCCACTCCTAAAACCCAGCCAGTCTTTCCTTTAACCTGAACCTCAAAGTAAAATCTGCCTGAAGAGAAACTCTGACGTCCTAAAACAGCCAGAGACTCAGAAAATCTCTTTGGATTTCCGGGTAGATGATACTCTACCTCTCCAACATTCACCTGTTTTCCATCAACAGACAGGATGAGGTAAGGATGAGCTGTATCAGGATCCAGACTGACATCCACTGCAAACTTCTGGACCCTCTTCATCTCAGCATCCATAATTTCTTGAATACTCTTTCTGAGTTTATTCTCCAGCTGAGCCACAGCTCTCACCACAGTCCCCTTATATGTTGGTGGACGGACTCTGACCTCGGTCAAGTCCTTGGTGGGCGGAGCAGCTTTCAGGGAGGGGAAGCTTTGGAGGAGGTTGGATGGGGAGAACAGGTTTGTCCCAGATAGCTCATGGATTTCCTGTTGCAGATATTTGATCCAGTCTTTAGTCTTTTTCTCCTCAGTTTTCTGTTTGTCTTCGATCTCCTTGATGAGCTCCTTCAGGCCTCTCTCAGCAGACTCCTTCAGAGCAGTGAAGACCTCAACACCTTCTGCTTTCTCTCTGTCTGCAGCATCTTTACTGATCTTCACCGACTCTTTAATCTCCCGAATCTGCACGCCTGTGTCGTGGATCATCTGATCAACTTCAGCCTCTATCCTCTTTAGCTCCTCCTTCTGAGCATCTATTAATTTCTGCCGCAGGTCCTTTCTCTTAATTTTCTTTAGAATCTGGTAGGTCACTTCCAGGCATCGATTATGGGTATAGGTCTGCAACATCAGGTCTGCAACGTCAATTGATTTGACTTTTTCCAGGTTTTTCTTCCCAATTGTTTTGGCTTTTTCCAGGTTTGTCTTCTCAATTGTTTTGGCTTTTTCCAGGTTTGTCTTCTTAATTGTTTTGCGTTTTTTCAGGTTTTTCCACTTGAGTGTTGGAAGCCTACGTATGTCCGTTGGCTGCTGTAGGATCGACTTGAATCTTTTCAACTCTTTCTTATTTAATTCATCCAAAGTGTTCAGGATTTGCTCTGGCATAATTTCAGCTCCTATAAAAACCACAAACAATCTGGGTTATATGATAATACAAGAGAATAACACTGGTCAACAGTTTTTTCTTGCTTAATCACAATTTTCCATTGTTGATCATTATTAGCTCTGTTTCCATTAATGCAGGTTGCCCCTGCAGCCAAATGTTCCCAGTAGTAGACCACTCAGAAATGAGGGAAATAAACCAATAAATACCCCAAACCTACCAGATCAGTACAGAGAGACTCTATTAACTGGTGTCTGACTCTCCAGAGCCATATTGTGGGAGGTACAGGGTACTGATATAGACCTAAGCCCAACTGGATGTTATGTAAATAAGGTTAGTTCCTCTGTAATTCTAAGCGTTGCTGTAATCTCCATCTTACCTGGATTTTCATCCTCCATGATGCTGGAAGTAGGTGAAAGGATCCCAGACATGTTTGGATCTCTAAGGGTGAAAAAAAGAAATGAATATACCAAAAATCAGTAGAAAACATGAAGGCAACATAAAGCCTCATCTGGTTTGGTGAACAGGGACAATGAGGGCGAGTATAGACTTTGGTTCTATAATGCCAAAGAGTCTAGAAACATATACTAAATCGATTCCCAAGGCCAGTTTACACTTATACAATTCCTAATCTGCTGCACCCCTACTACCAATGCTTTCAAGATCACTTTATCCAAACAAACAAAACAAGAGAAATAGAAGTGTGAAAATTATCAAAGGCATTTGATACCAATGATTTTTAAATTCTATTTGGAAAATTGGAGCATTATGTTGTGAGAGAGCTGCATTCAGGTGGTTCAGAAGTTACATTTATGAAAGGGAGCAATAACTACAAAAAATAACGTAAATCTCTAAGCAAAATAATTACGTGGAGTTCCAAAGGGCTTCATTTTGAGACCACTTCTCTTTATAGTATATATAAATGACTTTGTAAAATTAACAACTCTCCTCCACAAAGTAATCTTTGCAGATCACACCAATCTATTTCTGTCTTAAAAATCTTAACAACCTCTAATCTATTGAAAATGTTGAATTACTCAAAGTTGACAATTGGTTTAAAAGTAATAAATTATCCATAAATGGAAATAAAACAAACTATATTACATTTCGTTCAAAAATAAATCCTGAAAAAACAGAAAAGATAAACAATGATATAACTGGTAAAGCAACTCAGAGAGTCGAGACCACCAAATTATTTGCAGTATTTTTATTTTGAAAAACACATTGAATAAATTATCTAAATATTTCACTCTATTTTTTTAAGATGAGACACTTTCTTCCTTCTGAAATTCTCCTAACTATGTATCTATCTGTATTTAAACCACATAGAAATGATTGCAATATCTTATGGTATAACACATAACCTAGTTATCTTGAAAAGCTGGAAATTCTTCAGAGAAAGGATACAAGTTTTATATTATGGGCGAATTATAACACCCCCTCAGATCCCCTTTTATGGGTTCAAGCTTCTGCAGCTCACTGAAGCAACAAATTTCATAATCCTTGTATTGTGTAGAAAGAGGTACATAAATGATGCTCATTCCAGTGGCCACTCCTTCTCATAGACATTAGACGAGAAGGAAACCTTTAATAAGAGGAAAACGCCGTCATCTAAGTGTACCAGCTTCAGTGAAGCATGTAGAGGCCCGGAGATCTGGAATGAGATTGATAGTTCTATAAAAGAATCACACTCTTTATTCATAGAAAAAATTTTAGGAGGCGTGCTTTGGTAGCGCAGTGGTTGGTGCATACAACCCATATACAGAGGCCTTAGTCCTCGCCGTGGCCGAGCTGGAATTCATATCCAGCCTCTGGTCCTTTCAGCCTACTGTACATAAAAAATTAGCCACTAGTGCTGCAAAAAATATAACATATTTTAAGCAAAATGTATTGATATGCTTTTCTTAAAAACCCAGACTTTGGTAGCATGTTGGTCTGCATGAATGCATAAAATATCTTAAATAAAATCTAAACCTGAATTGGATGTTAGAATATGTACAGACTGGATGTACAGACTTAATCTCTAGTGTGATCCTGTTTGGTGGGATGCAGGTTGTGGCTGGTTGAGGGTGGGTTTTTGTTTTCTGTTCTGTTTGTTGCTTTATTTTTTGTTTGTTGTTGTGTTTATTGTAATTTCTGCTTTCTTCATGATTCTGCTACTGACGTTTCTGCATTTGGTTGTTTGTTGTTTCTTTAACTGTGGGTCCCTGTCCATAAGCATTGCGCTTCTGGGACCTCAATATCAACCAAAATGATGATTTAAACTGTTAAGTTTTGTAAATAAATAAACAGAAAAGTGAGAATATAAAGAAACTGTTGTGCCTTGGGTGGCAAAAAGGCAGCAAATGGCTCTGCTCCCAGACATCGTTTTTAATATTTAGTGTTTTCACAAACTTCTTATTCCTTGTAAGTGAGAAAGCTGCTAAGACTAAAGCTGCAACCAATTTTTCTGCTAGTTTAAGTCTCTAAGAGACGAAAACGATCTTTCTGTCTCCCAGGTCAACAATGAAAATGTTCAACTTAGAAAAACAAACCTCTTTAAAGATCTTCCAGAGCTTTTAGAGCAGAGAGAAAATAGTTAAAGGCAAATATTCCTGATGTGATTCTGTTCTGACAATGAAAAGATGAAAACTTGAAGCAGTAGAGAGAACAAAACACATTTAAACATGATTCCTTCAAGATTAACAGTATTAAAAGAAAAAATCATTTCAATGTGTCACTTTATGTCCAGGATTAGTCCCACATGTTGTATTTAAAAGTGGCTGTGGAGAATGGATGGAGAGATGATCGACTATTTTTCAAAAAACTAAATAACTGAATGACTCATTCAATGTTAAGAATGTCAGTCTAATTACTCATTACATTACCATATAATAATAACTTCCAGGATCATATTACTTTGTTCGGTTCTGTGGTAATGCTAAATATGAGGAGTTGTACTCACCAGAGATAAAACAGTTTGCTGTAAGAATTGATCTATTCTGCAGCTGTGCTGATGCTCTGACAGGTTCCTCATCACTGAGCAAATTTATACCTACCTGCAGCATGTTGCCCCGCCTCTACCCTCAGGTGGGAAATTGTTTTAATGTGTTTATAGCACAGAGACAGAAGTGAAAAGAATCTGATCATCAGATCTGCTCACCCTGCCTAGCAGAGGCTGTCTACATGGAGTTAGTGTGACCTGGAAAAAAATTGGATAGAAGATTAAAAAGTCGTACAGAAACATTATGCTCAAGCCTTTAAACTGAAATATTATACTATAGATTTGGGTGCAAAGATTAGAGAATATTATGGTGCTGTAAAGTCTTTTACCTTTTAGATCTGCTGGTGTGGGGGAGGGGTGTTTACTAGCGTACCTGAGCTGGGAAAAACTCAAAACATTTCAGAATCATTTTGGGAAAATACAGATGTGCAAAATTAAAGTAGCTTCTCACTGGGCATTAGTTTAGTTTATTTAACAGGGACAGTGTGCAAAATATGTCAATGTTAAAAGAAGAGATGTGTTGTACCAGAGTTAACTATTGCTAGCTTCCATTCATAGTCCCCAGGCAGAATCACACATTTAAAAACCCATTACAGAACAAACTACATTTAGGCTAAAATACTAAGAAATGATGTAAATGTAAATAAAGGCGCAGTCAGCAATAATATTGTTTACAGATTAGCTGCACTGATGCTGACACAGTTTGTGAGCAAGGTGTTAATTTTTTGTTAATTTTAGTGGTGAACAGTTTTCTGTCTGCAGCCAATTTCAGACTCTAGAAGTTGTTTCTACTGTCTGATGGTCTTTAAAGAAAAACCTATTTGTGCAAAGGCAGGTGATCTTTGTGGAACGGCACTGTTTCTGTGAGACATGGAGCGAGAAATTTGGGTTGATTGATTATAAAAATGTGAACTAAATAGTTTCAGTGTCGCTGGAGCAGTGCTATCGACTATGTCAAAGACTTGCTAAACTTGTGAGACAGATTAAATAATCAAAACTGAGGATTCTGTAGTTATTTAGGGCTAAACAGTGATGTAATGAGGTGTTTTTTTAAGAAGGAATATCGCGGTGGTTGGTCTGTTTAAGTGGAAGGGGAAGTGTTGACATGTTCATAGAGCTGGAGGACTAAACTAAAACCATATAAAGTATGAAAGGAACTAATGCCTCTAACCTCAGGAGCCTGCTGGAAAGTTTCATTAAGTACCTACTGAATGATGACATGCCAGAAAGGTATGACTGGATTCTCCAGCTTTTCAGCACCTTCCTATTATCAGAGGTCTATATCTCCTCTGATCTCATATTACAGGCAAAGTGGGAATGCAACACTGTGTGAAAAGTGCCTTTATGTCCTGACATGCATGAAAAATAAATAAAGATCATGTCTCCTCAGACTGAATGCGGAAGCTTTATTTAAAAATGGTAGAGAAAAACATCTTTGGTTTCAGGAAGTTATTTTTCATGTTTAAAATCCCCAAAACAGAAATGTTTAAAATGAAACATGGGATCTTTTCTAGCATGTTTTGTTAAGATTCAGAATATGCTGGTATCATTTTATTTCATTAAAAACAGTTAGCATTATTTGTTTAACTTTTAACAATGTCATGATATCACCACCATTGTGAGTCTGTTTGGCATCTTAGCCTCCTGATGCTGCTTTATAATTTAAAGAAAATCCAACTGGTTTCAAAATAAAATAATAAAGACACGAATAGATGCATTAGATAAAAAAAATGGTTGTCTGATTATTTAAATGGAACATATAATTATACTGATCAGGCATGGGGGTCGTGGACAGCGGTGCATGTCAAACTGGGGGTCGCTTCCTAAAAAAGGTTGAGAACCTCTGCATTATAGTGCCTTGCTTATGAACCTGTCACCACGGACAGGTCAGGATAGAAGCATCACTATGGCTTCTCTCGTCTCCCCCCACTCTTTTCTGACTCTCTCTAAATCTCCCTCTCCTCTCTGCTCCTCTCTGTGTTCAGTAACTCATTTGCCTCAGTTAGTTATAATGGTCATTTGTCATAAGTGTAATAAATGCTTTGGAGGTGAGGGTGTCAGAGTTAGAGTCCCTGCTTCAGGCTCTTGAAGAGGCCCAGCAGCTATAACACCGAGAACAGCAATTCATTAAAAGGCATTGTTGGGTCATAAACCATGCTAATAATTTTGGACACTGGGGTCCAAAGTTCCTGGGTTAGTAATTCCTCTTCAGGGATTGTGACCGCTTTGTCTGGATCATAATCTGACACCACTAGCTAACCGCTGTAACAGTAGGATGGATTTTTCTGCTCTTACCTCCTAGACAGCGTTGGAAACCGGTACAATGATGAACCTGTGTCCCATTGGCCTCTGTCCTGCTGCCTCTGTGGAAATCTGAGTTAGGTCAGGAACCTGCGCTGCTCTGTAACCTGAACCAGGTGTGCCAGTCAGGTCTGTCATCCTCTGTGGTCTGAAGCTGTTCTGCTTAGTGGACGTTCACACTGCTAAATCATCAGCAAGCTGTCAGCTCTGTGGTCACCTGAGGAGGAACTCCTTTAGCACCCTTTTCATCTAACTTCTTTAATGCAGGAACAGTTTCACTCTCTTCCTCTGACTCTTCATCCTGAGAACATGAGGCCTCCTTTCTACACTCATCCACCTTTCTAGCTCTTTCTTCAGGCTTCAGATACAGTCCTGTTTCCAAATGTGACTTTTTCTGTTCCAGCAACAAGCCTGGTTCTGAAATGCCCAACGTCATTATTTAGACTTGGTTTTTCTGGAGATCTGGACCTTGGACCTGGCTTTCCATGCTGGCTTCCTCTCTGAATTCCCCAGGGCCGTTTTATTAAAAGAGAAAGAAATCATGTGTGTTGTGGTGTTTTCCTGTCCTAAACCACTGTGGGGGTCCAGCACTACCCCCGCAAAATTGGTTGAAAACGCCTAAAAATCTGATATATAATTTCACACAGAAACCTCTAAAACCCTCTTGGCTTAAGGAAAAAAGGGATCTTAATAGTGTCAATTCCAGACAAACTCGACAGTTTCCTTATTCATTTCAATAATAGACTACCTGAGGTTGGGGAATTTTTAACTACTTTGTTTCCCTGATTTTTTCTGTCTGGGTAAAAGTCAAATGGTTGTTCCAAAACTAAATATCTGGGTCGCTACATCACTGACAAATTCTGTGATGATGATGATGATGATGATGATGATGATGATGATGATGATGATGATGATGATGATGATGATGATGATAACATTAAAGTTTTATTATTCTTTAAAGCTTATTTTTTTTTTTCAAACATTTATTTATTGATTTTAACAGGAGAACAAGAAACATACATATATACACTTACAAATAATTAAACTTGACCAGACTAAAATCCAAAGTACATATACACAAGGTGGAGGGGAAAAAGAAAAAAAAAGGAATAAATAAATAAGTAAATAAATAAATAAAAAAAAAAAAAAATAAAATAAAAAAGGGGGGGTGCAGCAGACCCTCAATAGACTAACCTACATAAACATCAGTTTGCCTCACCATGAGGCCTTATAACCAATCTTTTTTCCAACCATCAATTTGGATATCATTTTGACACAGCCAAGTGTAAAAGACAGACCAGACCACCCAGAATTTATCAAGCTTATTCTTAGTAAAATAACTGATTTTCTCAAGTGCAAAGTAGAACGTCATTTGCGTGGTCCATTGAGAAATTCCACATAAAGACTCCTTCTTCCAAGAGAGTGCAATGCAACGTTTGGCTTCCAAAAAGGAGACATTAAGTAAGGATCTCAAGTTGTTTGGGATAACAAAGTCTTCAGGATAAATATTCAAGATGCACATTTTAGGATTCAAAGGAACCTTTTTACCTATCATCTGACCTATCACAGTCAATACATCCTTCCAAAACGCCAACACTCGAGGACACGCCCACATGCAATGGAATAAAGAACCCCTTTGGGAAGAACATTTAATGCAAGTGTCAGGAATATTAGGGTTAAAATGATGCAATTTAACTGGAGTGATGTATTGCCTAGTCAGCCATTTGTATTGTAACAATTTGGAATTTGTGTTAGCAGATTGTGTATGAATAGAATTGCAGGCTTCTGACCACTCCTCACTCGACAAGTTACCACCCAAGTCCGCTTCCCATGCTTTTAGGATGTTGGCCGGAGATTCTTTACATTTGTCAACAAACAAGGAATAAATTAGAGACACCTGTCCTCTGTTATATATGTGATTTACAATAATGTCTTCTAGTGAAGACAAGGGGGGCAGATCAAGATTATTTTGTTGCTTGGATAAAATGAAACTCCTAATTTGCAGATATTTATAGAAATGTTTAGTGGGAATGTCATGTTTATTTTTAAGTTCTGTGAATGACATAAAAACTCTTCCTATAAAAAGATCAGATACCTTGGCTAACCCCTTAGCAGACCAGAGTTTAAAACCTAGGTCTGCTCTACCTTGACCAAATTCCCTGTTTCCAAAAATGGGTGAGAACTGGGATAGTTGTTGCCCTTCTCCCAAATATTCAAATACTTTTTGCCAGATAAGCAATGTATTTTTCAAAAACGGGTTTTTTGTTTGTTTAATAAGTTTTTTCCTGTCTGATGAGTACAAGTATAAGTTTAAAGGAATAGAGATATGCTGGGACTCCATTGTGACCCACGCTGGGGACTCTTTGGAAACAAAATAAAACATAGCTGCCCTGATCTGGGCTGCCCAGAAATACCATAATAAATTAGGCAGTTGTAGACCACCTCTGTCATAAGGTAGATACAAAAGGGACAGTCTCATTCTAGGACGCTTACCGTTCCAAATGAAATTGGAAAAAGTTTTATTTATCTCCTTAAAGAAGGAGGGGGGAGGGGAAAGTGGAACTGATTGGAAAAGGTATAAAAATTTTGGCAAAATTGTCATTTTAATAATATTGACCCGACCTATTAAGGAAATGGGTAGTCTAGACCATCCTTCTATTAATTGCATAACTGATTCTGTAAGGTGGTTATAATTAGTTGGAATGATATTA